ATACGAAGCTGCAAATCGCTTACATCCTTTAAACGGAAATTGTAGATAGCATTCCTTTGGCATTAACTATCATTGGTTTTTCTTTAATAATCTAAYATATTATACTTACATTAAGTTTTTTTATATTTATTAAAGCGTTTCTATTGCGGCACGCCCCCAATGGAAACCAGCATTTGTTGATTTAGGCTATGGTGTGTAAATAAAGTTGACCTTAGTAAGGGCGGATTCAGGGGGGCAAAGGGGGGCTGAAGCCCCCTTTAGCAGAAACAAAACGATGCTTTTTTATATTGTTTTCCGTTGTGTTGACGGAAGAAACCCAATAACCCCCCCCCCCCCTCTAAAATTTTGGCTCGATCCGCCCTTACTTACCTTACCTTATATATATCTATGACGGAAAGTGAGTGGACATGCCTTGGGTAGTAATGATGTAAAGAAAAGTGAAACTTCTTCAGACATAAACGTTTTAATTTGTAGTTAGACGTTTCGCCGGTTAGGGATGTGCGTCGATTAACAATTGCCATTGTTTATATGACTCGATATGGAAATGGAGTTATGACGAGAAAAGGTTCTCGCTCGATGTGCTAAGGTAAAAGCGTGACAATAATACAACCAATCAAATGGAGATGACTCTGCCGATACAGCTGTTCATGACGTTGGGCGGTTTTCGGCTATTCATAGCTTCTATTATTTTTCTTACTCTCTGGCTTTTGATGTTAGCATGTAGGATCTTCCACTGGATGTTTTGGCCTTGTAGTAGATTCACATTGTGACTTTTGAGATGGTTATAGACCGTTATATATAGACCTATCGATGCCACGAACATCTGTGACCTTCTATCCGAATCTAATAACAATATATTATATTGATCGATGATCAATCGATGATCTATATTTATCGATTGGCATTCCGTCTTGTGACCTATCGATTGGTCATCGATTGTCCGATACCAATCGATATCAATCAACTAATTATATCGATTGCTATCGAGTAATCGATTGGGTTTTAGATGATCGATTTTCATCGATTGCCTGTACCGGGAATCGCTCTATGTTAACAAATTGAACTGCTTTTGTGCAAAAGACCTGCAAGCTGTGTGACTGGAACTCTACTTGGTTCTCGATCATGCGAAACAACACGAAGCTTGTGCTCAACATGAGTAAGGGATTTAGCATAACGAGACGTGCATTCCTTTGATAAATATGACTCTTTATTGGGATGAAAAAATACAGATAATTGTACAGCTTTTTCGAATGTATCGCAGAGAGTTTACCAAAGACTTCTTGATTCTGGAAACGCATGTTTTTATTTAGAGACATTCCAATATAGCGTCCATGTTGTTTGGAATATTTTCTCTGTTGTCTCTCTCATCAGACTGCAGAGCAGACCGCAGACCGCCGAGCAGCGCAGGCTTACACACTTTCGACAGCGTCGATAGATAGACTGATAGATAGATAGAAAACCGAAACCTGGACTCGGCTTACCACAGGTAGCCCGAGTAAAAAGCTTTTAATAAAGTTTTCTGTGAGCAACTCTTTATTTTACGTACCTTGTATTAAAGTCTGCCGTGTGTCCAGTCAAAGTTCCACTGTTCAAGTCCCTGATAGATGATCCCGAGAATTGCAAAAGCTAGTTTCTCTGAGTTTGACAATATTTACCAAGGATATTCGTTGTCATAAACGATATTCAGTTTGGTGAGAATGTGACTATATATTTGGTTTAAAAATGAAAATAAAAATAAAAGTCACTTTTTGAGTTAGATTCTTGGCAATCAGCTGCATGTGAGCCTGCAATGTCAGCGGATTATATTACCCAGCAGCCTTCACGATCTATTTCATTTCCTCTTTCTCTTCCCGACCAGATTGCATCAGATGTTTGGGAGAGTCTGATAGATGATCCAGAATTGCAAAACCCAGCAGCCTTCACGATCTATTTCACTTCCTCTTTCTCTTTCCGACTAGATTGCATCAGATGTTTGGGAAGTCTGATAGATGATCCAGAATTGCAAAAGCTAGTTTCTCTGAGTTTGACATTAATTACTAAAGATATTCGTTCTCATAAATGATATTTTTGGTGAGAATGTGACTATATATTTGGTTTAAAAATGAAAATAAAATTGCCCTATTTCACTATGACTGCTTGTTTATGTGGGGGATAGAATCGCCAAATCCAATAGAAAATTCAACAAAATTTGATCATAGCGAAACAGTTTAATCTAAAATGGCCTGGTTTTCAGATATTATATGTGTTAATATGTACTAAAAAAAATTCGGAGCGTTTGCTGGCTATTCTACTTCTCTTCGTGAATTGATACGGATTTTAGAACAATTTTCGGTGAATTTGCGTTGATTTGACCCCCTCCGACGACCATGATCCTTTGCGTTTAAGCAATAGATTGTTTTGATGTGACTTTTTGAGTTAGATCCTTGGTAGTCAGCGACACGTGAGCCTCGATGGAAGCGGATTATATTACCCAGCAGCTTTCACGATATATTTCACTTCCTCTTTCTCTTTCCGACTAGATTGCAGCAGATGTTTGGGAAGTCAACAGGTATTTTACTTGGTAATTTACGGCGGTTAATCTAGGTTTTCTTTAGATTTTCAAGTTATCGAGGATACAGCTATAACATCAGTAGTGACATGAAGCTATATACTGATAAAGGAAATCCGAATCTGCTTCGGATTTTCGCCGCTAAGAATTTGTCTGGAGTCAGGCTGGACGTGCTTTACTTGAATCAAGAAGGTACGAACATATTTTCTTTCAATGGTATTTACTTTGGAATAAAGCTTTGAATTATTTTT